GATTCTATCTCTCAGCCACTTGTACTCGCTTTTCACCGCACCCCTCCCCCGTGACACGCGTCGTCACTGTCGTCAGTCCGTCGGAAGCTCTCGAATGACGCCGTCGTCGGATGTTTCTATTATCTAATTTGTTGTGAAAAACACTACTTATATATGAATAAATAGATATTTTTTCTTATGAATAAATAAATTAGTCTTTTTTATCAAAAAAACTATATTTATGCGAGTACTATTTATTGTTGGCAAGAAAAAATTTTGTGGCTCTTTAAAAACTTTGAAATTTTGTAAATTGTAATTTTGGCTCTTCCGACTCAAAAGGTTGCAGACCCCTGGTCTAGGGAATCTAGTATGGTTGTAAAAAGGGCCCCAACGATATATCGAATTTTAAGAAACTATAAGGATAAATTAGAAAAACAAGAAAAGGCAGGTATGTACAGTACAAGGTACCATATGAAAACATGCAGTTGGGGATAAAAAAAGATTCGATCGATGTTACACAAGTAATTTGAAAATTAGACTTAATTTAAAGAACATCAATATAATGCAAGAAAGAGATCCAATAGCACGGTACTATCCAAGATAACGCAAACTGAGAACTCTGTGATAAATTAAGAAAAGGAAAATATCATTGAATCTGTACACTTCCCACAGAAGGCTGATAAACTTGAAATATATATAAGAAAGTTGAAAAATAAATACATTAATTTTACAGATGCAGACAGTATGCAGCAAGGGAATACATTGTACAGAATAAGTTTGTTAGAAACTCGTAATTTTCTACTATATATATTGATATAATTTTGTATATTTTTTGAGTTATTTATTTTGTATTTTATTTTTATTGATTATTTTTGTTAATTTTTAGTTATTTTTGCTTTATATTCAAATATTTAAACGTTGTTATTCTTGTATTCTATTTTGGANTTTATGATAGCCCGTTTGGAGTCGACTGCGCATGACATACAACGACGGAAACGGGAAACGTGCATTCGAACTTACATATTTCGAATTTAAAGTTTTTACGAGCTGCATTTTCCATCAGAGATTCGAAAAAACCTGAAGAAGAACCGTTTAAGGGTTCGAAAACGTTAGTTTTGGTTCGTTTTGGATCGTTAAGAGTTAGTAGACACACCGGTAACAGGTTAGAAAGAGGTAATTATATTACTATTCTCCGGTGTTGTGGTAAAGATGAGTATAGTTATATTTTTTTTAATGTACTACTTAGCTTTAATTTGAGTGTGTTTTTCGTGTTGGAACGAATTATTTGGTTTTACATGTAATCGTATGGAGAAAATGATTCACCTTACGACATTTTCATGATACAATCTCAGTTTTGGAGCAGATTAATTTCGTATCCTGAGGTATCACTGTACTGCATTTTGCATACCATGATTGGATATTTCCACTATAAAATAAGTATTCTAATTAATTTACCATGTAACTAATACAATATATTTATTCAATATTCTATTATATATTTATTTTTAAAAATTTGATTATTTTGTAGATGTATTACTGGATCCGGTATATGTGAATGTTTACAAGGATATACGGGTCCTTTATGTGAAACAGAAATTAATGAATGCTTATCAAATCCTTGTTCAACGAATCGTAGTATCAAGTGTAATGATCTAGTAAGATATAGAGCATTATTTTATTACAGTTTATTACAATTTAACAATATACAACACTATTTTAAACATTTTATTATTACTAAAGTAATTTACAATAATAATTTGTTTAAAATAACAATGTCCATATATGATAGTTAAAGCACAATCACTCCCAAAATGATGTAATATTTCAGTATATTATTGTAGATTCCTAAAATAGTGAACTTAACTAATATAGTCATAAAAGTAATTAAATACAATATATTTGTAAAAATGTTTGGTTTTTCCAATATAGAAATATTTCATAAANAGTAACTTACAATATTCTCTACTCCAACTGTTCGAACAGAACTGCTCACATAAAACACACGAAATGTGTGTCATCGTGTAAAAATTGGATGGGAAGATTCACATCGCGACATGCTTCTGTGCAAGCAGACACGTAACGGGGACGGGTACCTTGACGGGAGGTGCGTCGGACTACTGAGCATGTCGGATTAAAAAACGTCGGACTATAGAGGGACAACTGTATTTACTTCTTTTATTTTAAAGTAATTCTAAGAAACTATTAATGCTTGGAATCTTAAAAATAATTAGGAAAAATTGTAGGCTTAGTAGTAGGCAAAATCTTTACCACAAGTCGTGGGTGTTTTAGTATAAAATATTTTCCCTTTCATAAAGTAATTAGCACTGAACTGTTTTATGACTTTTCTTGAGGTGAGAAATCTGGGGTTGAAGTTTTATTTCTAGCTAACACACTTTCTGGTTTAGATATCGAATATTTTAAGTCTAATATATAGTATTATAACGATTTTTAGAAGAATCAAATAGAATAAAATGATGATGTTAGAACGTCATTTCCGATGTTATCAGGAAGTTTCTATTTTGGCGGGAAATTTTCAATTTTATGCTTTGGAAAACGTGCTTATTCGTCTAAATAGCGTCAAATAACATAAAAAGAAGTGAAAATAGCGCTGAAAAACCATGAAAATAACGATTTTTTACATTTTAGGTTCTGATTGGTATAGTCGAATCTTTTCTGAAAAGACGCTTATTCGTCAACCTAATTTCATTCAAACTAGAAAATAACAATCAAAGTTCAAAAAGGAATGTACAAAAACTATAACAACCAATTATTTACAACAAAGTCTCTCCACAGACTAACAATAGGAAAAATTTTTAATTACGTTGGATCAAGAAAATTTATAGCTGAAATAGGGTCATACGACTAAAAGAAAGCCGATTGCACTAAAAAGTTTCGGATTTAAAAATTATTTCAAACCGTGTAAAGTCATAAACTTTTCGTGATTATCAACACTATGCAAAGTAATTAGACTCCTTGTGTCAACAAAGAGGGTTGTAAAATGGTCTGGCCCCAGGTCCGTAAAGTTAATCTTAACCCAGCTCTTCTTCAGAAAAGGTTGTGCATCCCTGGTTTTAGCATCGACTTTGGATCGAATAATAGTGCATTTCATTTGTGTGTTTAGTTTTAATTATTTATAATTAACCCATAAAAATGAGCAAAAAACAGAAAGGAACGTTAGAAATTTTTTTTAATATATGTAATCGCGGACCGGGACCTTCAAAAAGAAAATATAGTGACGAAAATCCTAGTGAAAGTTCCGATGGTGATGATACAGTAAAAAGTGCAACGGAAAAAACAAGTCCTAAAACTAAAGGTATGAAATTAAATAACATTAAAATTAGAAAATACGATTGTGATTATATCAAATATGGGTTCGTAAGCATAGAAGTTCAAGGAATTACAAAACCACAATGCGTCATTTGCATCATGTGTAGTTCTCTCCAATGAAGCAATGAAACCAAATAAATTGTTGAGGCATTTAAATTCTAAGCACGAACAATATAAAAACAAAACGAGGGATTTTTTTATAAGAAAAAAAGACGAATTAAAAAATCAAAAGACGCTCATAAATGTGACAACTACTAAAGATAAAGAATTATTAAAAGCTTCATTTATTGCAAATTTGTCATTAGGTAATCATAAGGTTCTTAAACTTAATTAAGACCAAAGAACTAGAATAAGAAATTAATTTCGAGATAAATTTCGATATCTTAAACTGATTTTGAATAGAATATTGTATATTTTATCACGATGCAAACATGGACGAGGTTGATTAATAATAATTAACATACGAAAAATATACGCTTGATTAATTTTGATATTATATCGCGTGATAACCCTCGATGGAACCAATTATCGACGATGAGAGATGGCGAATGATCCTAAGACACAAATAATTGACGAGTTGTGTTTTTCAGATTTCGATATGGAGAGATATGCGGAAGATGAGCAGATAAGTGCGGATGTGGATAGAAAGCTGGATGATGAGGATGATTTCCTCAGTTTTGACTTGGACAATTACCAAGAAACTAATTATCGGGAAATTGTTCTCGATCTTGCCGAGGATTGTTTCGGCTATGGCGATTCTAATTCGCAACAAATTGATGTTTGCTTTCGTTGCGACGAATGCGAGAATCCTCGGGTATCGTGTGATCGGAAAGTTGAGCTGGAAGTTGTTGGCGATTGGCTCGACAGGTAAGATTCTTATATTTATTTAATACGTATCTAATAGGTAACATGTAATATTTTTATCTCATTTTCTGTATTGTTTATAGAAAGCTAGAGCTGCGTGAGGAACAATTTGATGATTGGGATGATTTCTTTGATTGTGACTTGGAAAGTTACCAAGAAACAAACTATTTGGATATTGTTCTCGATCTTTCCGAGAATTGTTTCGGCTACACCGATTCTCATTGGAGACAAGTCGATAAAAACGAATGCGAGAATCATCAGAAAGTCGAGCTTGAAGCTGTTAGCCATTGTCTCGACAGGTAAGAATTTTATGTTTATTTAATACGTATTTTTATATCATTTTCTGCGTTGTTTCTANTGAAATGCTACATATTATGTGCTTTATTGTAAGTTTAAATTTTTGTCATTATTGTTAAAATTTATGTTAATATTTTTATTTATATTTGCATGATACTTAATGTTTTTGAATGAATTTTGCATGGTGTAATAGTTTCAACAATATCATAATTAGGTTAATGATTACCATTGTGAATGCTTACCTGGATGGAAAGGCAAGAATTGTGATGAATATATCAGTGAATGTGTATCTCAACCTTGTTTGCATGGCAATTGCATTGATGTACCTAACAATTATTCTTGTTCATGTCATCCTGGATATACGGGTAAGATAATGCATGATACTCATAAATGTTTTAATTAAATATTTAATTTTAAAATAAATTTAGAATTTTTAATATAATTTGCTAATTTTATTGTCTCAATTTTAGCATAGTTTTTTATTTCAGCTGAATGAAAAAGATTATAAGTTGTAATTATATTCTGTGTAATAAATGAAGATACATATGTTTTGGCATATTTGCAAGGATATTTGGAATGATGGTCATTAGATTTAACTGAATGTTCACTGTCTGCATTAAGACATGATGTTGCTAACCTTATCCTTTAATTATCTTTGTTTTTGCATTATTCTTAGATATTCATTGGAAATGCAATAGACTGACCTTGAAGTAGTTAGGATAAATAAATAAATAATCCAATACTCTAAGATTATACTGTTACAATTGTACACAAGGCTGTATATTATCAGAGATTAGCTTAAATAACATGAAATATGTCTGAATAATTTTTTTAAAATAAATTAGACAATTCAGACCAAAATGTTTCTTAGCATTCTGTAATAAATATATTGTGAGATCAGCCAGGGGTACAATCTATCTATTAAGATGTTGGTACCACTTATTCGGCGGCTAGTTTGTGAAACTAGTTCTCTTGGTTTTGGATCTTTTGATCTGATCCTATGTCACGATTTTTGACCGGGAGGGCTATTGTAATAGATCAAAATTGTAGGATTCGGATCTATGTCAGGATTGACACCAGTTAATCACATTTATATCCCACGGATTAACACTTGAGTAGGGATCTGATTCTGACAACAATCAAGAGACATGTCTTAATATAATAACTATAAACGATTTAATAAAGTAATAAGATAAATAAAAATAGAATTTTTATAATATTTACATTGCCTCTTCATTGTTTAGAGCTTATTTTATTTAACAATATTAATTTACCCAACGATTATAATGTAAAGAGGTGAATTAATTTATAAATTAAATCGTACAAACAATTAATTGTTAGGTAAAAATATATTTACATTCTCAATTAATTTTTTAAAAGCTGTAGAAAGTTCTGAAAAGTGACTCCATTTAGAGACGGCTCGTGGATCCATAAAATAATGGTGCCACGTTAAGACATAGTTATTTAATTTTAATAAAAATTTTACGTTATTTATAAATAATAAAAGAATAAATATTCTTAATTTTGCGTGGTTTAGTTGTTTATATAGGTTTACTGAATTAATAATCAAAGTCATGAGGGCACTCATTATGACAAATTGAAAATATGTAATTACATGAAATATTAGCTCCGTAAATGAACAATTATGTAAATTAGTAAAAATTTTTAAGTCATTTAAGATGAAACAAGCTAATAAATAAAAATTCTATAATACAGTGAGAAAAGTATTACCCATAAACAAATGTTTTAATATATATTAGTATAGCAGAACCTTTGATAACTGCCACTTTCCGAGAATAATCATCTGTATAAGGCGGCCATTTTTTCTGAAAACGTTTTATTTTGAAAAATATGCACAGATAACAGCACATTTTTCAAAATAAAACGTTTTCACCTTCGAACAGCGATCACACTTAACAACAATCCGTTAGTAAACATATATTTAAATTATCTTCAATATGCATTTCGACAAAGAATGCCCTTTTTAATTGGTTTTTTTAATATAATTACAACATTTATACAATACTACGAACTGCATATGACAATGTTACAATTAAAATTATACAAGACATAACATATAATTAACGAGCAGTTATTTCTTGTGATATCGTCGCAATGCCGGGCTGTAATTTTTAATTATATTTTTAATTTACGTTTCTGCTCATCTTTATTATAGTCTACCGTTCTGCACTATTATACAATAGATATCACACAAACAACATACAGGGAAAATGTTCTCTGTCTGCTTAATAGTAGATCTATAAGTCTGTTTAATGGTAGTCCTATAATTAAGCCTGTAATTAACCAACATAACTAATGGCATTAATGTTTTATTTGGTTACCACAGATGCATGATTATATCTTATTTTGTAGAGTTTTTTTTTTGGAATAATTCGACAAAGCAGTGGAGGGAACACACATCCCATAACTTTTCAATTTTTATACCTTTACAGATTAATGTCTGTATATTCGTTGCGCGCCTCAGTTGAGTTCTGAAAAACTGATATGCTTTTGAAATAGAAATTTTCAAATGTCCAAACAATCAATGCCTGGAACTGAAGTAATGACTGCTGTTATTTGTGGACACTCTAGAACGAACTGAACAAGGGCATCTTGTTAATACGATTATGCCTTTGCTGAATAGAAAGAATGTATTGTGTATTTTCTTTACTGGCTAGTTAAGTAATTTTGAATTTTATATAAATTAATTCTAATTGACGGTAAAATTTTGGGTGAGTTAATCCGCGTTGTACGTGGTTTTTGTACTGAGCTGTTGTTCTCAGCGCCACCGGTCGTAACTTGAGAACGAGTTGAAAGCAAAATGTGGACTTAGTGAGGTATTAGATAAAAAGACCCCGGTGTAACGACGTTCGAATACATTCACGAAACACCTCGTTAGTTGTAACATCGTTTATCCGCGTCGTTTTTTACATTAGAAGTGTCGTTATTCATCTTTTCAAGGTGCTGGACGAAATTTGTTCAGTCATTGAAGATAAATATTCACGTCAAATCTATCTGTTATTCTCGTCTATCCATCGATGATAATGTAGTTTTTACACTTATTAAATATTTATTGGTTATCAAAAATAGTAATTTTTAATTTAATTAAAGCGCACCAATTCTGTATATAAATTTTGTGCAGTAAGAGAAAACACAATTCCAATAGATATCAGATTAGCATGTAGCACCCAGAATTTTTGTCTACAAAAGTGAGAACATTGAGGCCAGAAACTGTTTGCCTTTCTTGCATTGGATGAGGACATTATCAAGTTTTTTGGAATTTGATATGGAAACAACGTTAAAAATTTTTTTAAACATTTATTTTAGCCATAGTCATTTTATATACCTAATTAATTTTCAGTATCACTACTATATTCCTATGGTGTACAGTGCCAGTATCATGGTGATGATTTTTAATAAATTATTTTTTAAATCTTATTAAAAACATACGCTAATAATATTCATTTATTCTATAATTGATCTGTACTTTTGTTATCGCAATCAGCTTAATCTGCATTCCTAAAAAACAAAAACGTCGAAAAATTCTGAAAAAATCAATAATATAATTCGTTTGTATAAAAATTAAGCCAAAGATTTTGTTTTTCAAGAACGCATTAATTGGTTTTTTAATCATTAAAGATGATTAATAAATTTGAAAAAATTATTGCTCTGACGTACCCGCTCGTTGCAATACGCTATAAACGATTGATTTGGTTAATAATTTTGTTTAATATCTCAGATAATTAAGCAATGAAAAGATATATGATGGTTCCATTGTTACGAACTTCGAAATATCCAGCAAAAAATAAAACTTTCTAAATTACAGATCAATGAAGTAGCTTATGACGTAAGTGGGCGGTATTGTATATATGCCAATAGAGCATTAAATTCGTCTAAAATGTGTTTTCTGAAGAAAAATAGACATGATGTATTAACTATTTCCATCGAATTTCGAGCATTTCGCAAAAATTATTTAACGTTTCGTGATATATCGAGTCACGAAATGCTAATTAAGTAAGTTAACCGAGTAAAATTGAATAGTTCTACTTTAAAATTTTCATTATAAAAATCTTTAAAATCGAATCGAAAATTATGGGAGACAAATTACGTCTAAAGCTTCTAAGTACGTTCTACGAATTACCAGACAGACGGTTATAGCGATAACGAACACGCTTTAAAAAAAGTATTCGTGCAACGATCCATTATTGATAAAATCTCGTATTAATATGTAACTATACCCAAGAGAATACAAATATATATTTTTCTGAAGGTAGACGTGCATTTAAATGACAATTTATTGTCATAATTCAACACTTACGTCATCTTCATGTTTGATTTACTGTTTAAAGAAAGTCACGCCTCCTCTAACTAAACAAAATAGCCATTTATTTACAACTTGCGTGCCTCATGTGTTACAGGAGCGATCGTCATTGATTTTCGTGTCGAATGTTAACAATTTTATTACAATTTTTAAAAAAATTGATAGTTCAGTGAACTTAATTCCTATTATTTAATTAATCATCATTAAGTTTTAAACCCATTTTGCTTACTTAAAAAAAAGGTTCTCTTATAATTATATTTTTTAAGTATGCAAATTAGTTTGTGTGTGTGAATTATTATTCAGATAAGATCAAGGATATTTTTGCTTTTTTAGAATGTTTGTCACGAATACTTTTTACGAATCTCGTCTTATTTTGAGTATATTGGCTTTAAGATCCACGATTTCGAAATTGGGTGTCGCGACACTTTAGTGTATTGTTCCAGTACCAAAGGGGTGTCGCCACTCAATTAACGACATTATATACCAGATAACATGAACAGAGTTTTAAAATTAGTAAATATCGAAAGAAAATAACTATCTGAATCTTCTTTTTATGAAAGTAGTTCACGTCGAGTTAATAAATTTCGAATCCTAATGATCCAACATGGTCCTAATGGTCGTATTGAGTCATTAAGGTCATACTTAGTCTACATTTACTGAATCGTTCTTGCTAGAGGGTATTTTACATAATAATTTTTGACTCATAATACTCAAAATAAAGTGTGAATCATCAAAATATTCAGAATCGTCCATGCTGTTAGAAAGGTGAAGCGGTTGAATGAAGATCGTTCCATATCTTTCTCTAAGTTTAGATTTATTTCGAAGTAAAATTTCTTTGTAAAAACTTATATTTTACTAAAGAAAACATTCATTTTTTAAAATAAAAACTATATTTTTGTTATAAATTTATATTATATTTGTAAATATTTATTTTAATACTTTAATAAGTTTATTTTATATTTTAGTACCACTTATCACGATTATTTTAAGATGATTTGGTACAAGATTCCTTGACTTATACATAAAACACTTTTTAAACATGACCTTCGCAAACGATAAATTAATTATTTTTTTAAAAATTAAATTATAGTTAGTTTTCTAGTTAAAATATAGCTACTCTCGTTATTTATACGATTTATTGTAAGTGTAGTAATGAACAAGTCTTTCCAGTAGTGCTTTTCAGCAATACTACTTTAGAACATTGCTAGAAAGTACCCTTGAGATGAGCTTTACACTTGTTTTTTTTGCATTTAAAAATTGCTGTAATTATTGCAGAAAATAATGCTTTCCAGCAATACTCGTAAAAATATTTCCAGCAGTAAAAATGTCCATTTCAATAATGTTTTTTTAAACTTGCTTATTTCACAATTTAAAATAAAATAATTCTATTTCTTATATACGACTTATAATTGATGATATTTTATAATTATTTTTGTTTTGAAATCTCACGACCCATTAAAATATTGAAAAAATCACGCAAATTGAATGATTAAATCTGTTAGAATCACGATTAATTTTGTTTAACAAATGTTTTTGATTATAAAAGTTGATTTAAATGAAATTAAATTCTTATGCCTTTAATCATTTTTATCATGAAATGTCTCTAAAGTTTTCAGGATTTATTGTAATTTTTTGCNGCATTTAAAAATTGCTGTAATTATTGCAGAAAATAATGCTTTCCAGCAATACTCGTAAAAATATTTCCAGCAGTAAAAATGTCCATTTCAATAATGTTTTTTTAAACTTGCTTATTTCACAATTTAAAATAAAATAATTAATTACAAACATTGTTACGTCATAACATTATTAATTTTAATTCGTTCTTCCCGTAGTTATATATAAATATATGTTCGTTTCAGTAAATTGAACATTTTTTCTTTCAGGCGCGAATGGAACAGAATTTGCACATAAAAATTCATAAAACGAACATATTTTTACGTATATAACTAGATTAAAAAAATGCAATCTTCTAACACGTAATTGCCAGAGTTAGCCAACTAGGTGATTTAAAAGGGTGTATTAGCTAGTCTGCAATAACTACGATTTTATCAGTAGCATACAAATCTACTTATTTAAGTTAATATAAACATCTTTATATATTTTATTTGTTAATGCATAATAAGCATTTTTATTAGAATTAGTAGTTATATAAGGCAAACACGACCGAATTTGAGATCGAGTAACGATAGCGTGCAGTATATAACATTTAATCTCCACCCAAACATTGAACAGCAGTTAAGATTTGTATAAAAATCGATAAATGTTTTTCACAGAATAGATGTCAAAGTAAAATACTCTAGCTGGATTGGTCGCTACCAGCGTGAGACTTCGTAAAGGTATTACTCTCTTACAAAATGGCCGCTCCTTAGATAAGTCACGTGTTTCGAACCGATGTCGGGTGTGTCCGAACATCTGTTCGGTTTCGCAAGGAAGTTCGGTTAATCGAACAGTGTTCGAAGATCCGTCATGGCTTCCAGGTCTCCTAGACGCCCTCTGACCAGATATGCTGTTGAAGATGCAGCTAAGGATCCCTTCCCTTCTCAGATGAGCTCTCCTACCAAAACTTCTACTGGTTCACCCACAAAAAGAAGTTATGATGGTTCTCCTAAGAAGGAAGCTAAATCTCAAGAAGAGTTAGAACAAAAACTGATCATCTGCTGCAGGAAAGGTGAATGGCCAGCTGTTGATTCTATCCTAAAACATATGAACGGCATCAATCCGGAATTGGTTGATGAGGTGAGTCGTCAATCCTTTGATTGTCTAAAAGTTCGTACGAAAAATATATATATCCCTTTTTGAACGTGATAAACTTGAATTTACAGCTTCTGTAGGCGCTATTTAGCGTATGAAAATTCGTGTTACAACTATTGATAACGATGTATTTTCACCATGTGCTGCTTGTTATAGGATTAGAAGGGTTAAAGATTGAAAATGTTTTATATTATTAGTGATAATTTTCATAACTCACAAAATTTGTAATCGTAAATAGTTGTAGCAAGTAATTTTTAAATTTTTTAGTCATTTTCACGACTATTTTTAAACTTGTGACCCTGTAAAAGTGGTTTCTCTGCGTAGCAAATTCTTAATATATTGCACTAGTTAAACTGAATATTGTTATTTTATCGTCAGAAAAAATTATTATGTAAATACATATTGTAGAAAAGAATAGAAAAATCGATATTTAGAATGTATTTTTTTTTCTTTAGAAATGTCACGATAATTTTTCTAACCTTCACAAACAGAATTAACAACGTAGATAAATACATTCGGTACTCTTCAGATATTTCTCTCTTCAAAGAAGATCTGAGTAAAAAAAGGAAGCAAAATTATGAATATAGATTACGAAACTCTTATTTTAATGGTTAAATATTGATAGATGACCAGGAAACAGATATTTTAACATTGATTATCAATTGGCATAGTTCTTTCTATATAAAAAATTTGAAACCATCGTAAAGTTTCTATGAGAGTATAAAAATTTAGTGTAAATTCTTGTTTAAATATATTTATTCTAAAAAACAAATACAAAATTAAGATATTAGTTAACTAACTAATACGTTTTAAATTCATAAATCTCGTAATAATGTTAATTAAAAATTAAGTTCATTTCTGATCCTTCTCTAGCGTTATAACTGCAAATTTTTTGTGTAAATATTATTTAATTTAATTTGAAGAGAATAAATCTTTAATTTATAATAGTACAAAATAAATAAAATTTTAACAAAATATAACAAGAAACTTATGATAACTATCAGTTATTAATATCCAAAAGTAAACAGCCTCTAACAATCCGCATCTTTTTCAGAAGATGCGGATTGTTAGAGGATGTTAAAGTAATTATAATTTTTTTAAAAATACTTTAACATTTTTCTTTTTAATTAGTAGAATTTATAGAATTATAATTATTTTAAACATATTTATTGCGATTATCCGAAAACAAACAGCGGAAAGGAAGCAATTAATAAAGAAAATAGATTACTTATAAACAATTTTTATTAGTTTATACTTTTTAATTACATTTCATGAAACGTAATCATTAGAAATATTTCTTTAACAAAAATATTTTACATTTAATCGTATCTAAATTAAAATTTAAAGGGTCTCTCTTCTTTATTTAAAGGCAAATTTTTTCATCCAAAAAATTATATAGAAAATCCTATACTAGTAGGTTTATATATTAAATTTTCCGAAAATCCTTTTATAAAATTACGAAATTTTTCATAAATTTTATTCTTTATTTGGAAAATCAAGAATATTTAGGTCAGACTTCAATTAGTAACGCGAAAAAATATGCATTTAACGTAGGTATTTTGCATAAAAACTGAAAATGATTGAAGAACATAAGTTAAAATTTGCAGTTATAAGATTGATTCTATGATCGAATATTTCCGTAGAGAAATTAGCTTATGAAGAGAACTCCGACCTCCGTTTATAGAAAACATTATCGAGTTTCGAGAATTGAATTTATTCTCAGAAATTATGCCAGATTTAATGATCCCGATAAGATAACAATCTCAGATAATGAGACAATTACTATAATTAGAGAGAAAATAATGCTAATTCTAACTACTGTGCGTAGATTAACGATAATTTTTATATTTTTGCGAGTTCTAAACGCGATAGAACTACAAAAATGCGTATTTTTCTTCTCTTAATGATTATATTTTTTATAATTTTGATTATTTTTTATATAGAAGGGGCTGTCTATAAATTACGTCCATAATGGAAGGGTGGGAGGGGGTTAATTAAGACGATTCGAACAAGGGAAAGGAAGGGGTTGAGCTTTAGTAAACGTTCGTTTTATTTTGTTAAATTTTATACATTTTATTATATTTATTTAAAAATTTATTCTGTTCCATTTCTTCTTAAGGCATCCATCATTCAGAAAGTGATAAAGATTTAAGGGGGATTCGAGTTTTGTTGGACGTCCGAAGAGGGGAGGGAGTTACGGAAACTTGGACAAATTGGGACAATGAGGGGAGTAAAAGTTTCAAGAAAAATTTCGACGTAATTTATGAACAGCCCCATTTAATATTTGAAAAATTATATATTTTTTCCTATGTATAATTTAAGGCTGCTTTATCTTAAGCATAAGGCAGCTTTAAACAGCTTTATTCTTTCGCAGAGTAACACATTTTATAAAGCTTTAAACAGCTTTATAAAACATGTTTCTCTGCAAAACATAATGTTAGAAACGTTTTTAAATTTTAAAGATGTAATTTATATATCTAATTTTACTTTTTAAACATGAATAAATTAATTCGTGATTAACTCCTCTTTAATATAAACAATTGCATGGTTGCAGATACAAAAGGGCTTTTAATATATTTTCCTTCACTTTTAAAGTTAAAAAATATATATTTTATATGAAAAATTATCATTTTTATACGTAAATGATTGATATTAAAGTTAATATTACGTATATTCAGAGTGAAACTTTCAAACTAGAGCTCTATTGTTCTGTGATATCTGGCAATAAAGCTATAATTCCGATAATTGTTAGATGCTACTGATACTATGAACTCGCTCATCTGGTGAAAATTATATATGTGACTAGGCTGTGGATGCGAAGAGAAGGCTGCAAACTTTACAAGAACTTCACGTCAATAGCCTAGATACATATATATATATATATATATATATAATTTATATTGATAAATGAAGCTATAATTTTAATAAACTAAGTGTATATAGAGTTTAACTATTACTAGTATTATAAACTCATTTATCTGGCATAAATTTTATATGTAACTGAACTACTGATGCATCCATCTCGTAGCATCAACAGTAAGACACGTTACTTTAACTACATTATTGATAAAATAAATAAATAAAGTTTAGTATTAAAATATATCATTTTAATGTAAATTTTTAAAATTATCTTGCAGACGAACGGCTACACTCCTCTTATGTACGCATTAAAAGACGGAAAGGTAGCCAAAGCGGATAAATTTATCAAATTAGGAATCAAAGTCAACATTAAAGCGAAAGTAAGTACAAGAATTTAACATACGTAAACAAATAAAACATATATAAAATCGATAAATACGTGTATTCTACAAATAAATTAAGCAATTTCTTATTAACTTTAAAAAGAGGATAAAAATACACTTTATATAAACTAGTTTAAACCGAGTTAAGGAACGAGAACGTGGAGGAATCACGTGACAAAGATATATTTTTCGTTATCAAAGATGACTTTATCCCTTTAAGTAACACGCAATCAAAATGTTTTCATTAGTACACTAAAGCTGTCACGATTTATTTGTTTGAAAAACGTTGAAATCGATTTTTTGTCGTGATCGAGTCACGTGTTCCACCCTCCGTCCAACGTATCCATTTTTCTCTCTTTCTGTACAGAAATTAGCATTATATTCTGTAAAATACCACTGATTAATGATACTTTAGTAGACTGGGTGTGTCCAGGAAGCATTTTAGTTATAAATATACGTGCCGCAATTTTATTATTTATTTTTTTCCCCTCTATGCTTTGGTTCGTGACAAACGTTACCCAGTTTCTAAGAAAAACCTGACAGCTGAATATAATCCCATTGGGGCGTTTCGTAAATTTATTATTATTATTTTGTTAAATTAACCGTTTCGTAACTCGTTATTAATTAAGTCTTTTTCTGGTTTTTTCTTTGATCTGGAATTTTATAGAGAAAATTGTTTTCTGCACCCAATTGATCAATATGAGAACTTAATTGTGTATCTTTCGCGTGAGGAATTATAAACTATTCATCAGAATTTACGAAAATTTAATGGTTAACTTAATAATTTACGTTATTATAACCAAAATTTTACAAGATATTATCATTCAGGTACAAAATATAACTCAAAATCACACAAGTCACTCGTGTTTAATACTGTTTAAACCGGAAAAAAATCAAAAAATTGATAGTATTAGTATGAAAACGTATGTTTATTGTTAACATCAATTAAATTTTTTAATAATTTATGCTTTATTCTCGTATCCCCGGGTGCGTGCACAGCTTTATAAGAATGTAAAATTAAAAAAAATGACACTGTTGTACTGAAAAACAACTGTTACATCGTTAACTATAAACATACTAATTATAATTAAACATTCATAAATAAAAAATTTAAACAATTCGTGACAACAACAGAGAACAAATTCAAGTTCAGTGCCGTACAGGAGCATTAATAATGTCTAACTCTCAAGTTATGCCAGAAATAACAGTTACAACACGAATATATTGAGTGTCACGTGGTTCAAATTCGTTCAGCCACAGTAAACGAGTTTGTGACATGTGACACACTGAACACTTGATACTGCACCCTAGATATAACTGGATACTTAATAATATTTAGCTGTGTAAACACACATATATAAATAGGCTACACGCTTGAAACAGGTATATATCTACGTACGTAAGTACAGTACGTACTGTACATTTACAGCGGTATAACTTTAGTAATCATCAGTTTTAAATGGTATATTTAGTTTATAACTATATACATAAGTACGTGAGTGTGTACTTAATTATAAACACAACATTATGTGTACACTTGCGCATACAGGATTATATATACCGCTGTACTTCATTACGTACACAATTAAGCATCCAAAACTATGTAGCTTTAAATGCATAACTGTTTGCATAAGGATGTACAGCAGTTTATATACAACTTGTTTATACAGTACATAAGATTGTATACGTAATTGTAAACGATCCTGTACAAGAATTTTTAGTGTTATACAGGAATACATCAATTCTTAACAACAGAAAGTAACATGAAAACTCATTACAACAGTAAACTTTTGAAGTATAAATAGTCAAACAATTAAATGGAATTAAATAGAAAATTATTTAATTAGAAAATAAATTAATTAGTTGTTCAATTCAAACGAGAGATGGTTTTTTTGTTATGATAATGTGCGCTTTTACGTCAATTTTACGTCATTTCTACATATCTGTTATGAGAAAAGCCGGTAAATGACATCATACTGACGTAAAAATAATACTTTATACTGACAAATGGAACGTGTGTAATACAGTATAAATTGCATTTTTCGATTCCTATAAAGGATAAACATACAGACAAACCACGATTTAGCGGTCTCTGAAATCGGCACTATATCGAGTATGGCGCTAAACCGAAGTACCACAAACAACGAGAATTAGGCCTATATGTTGTATTGAGGTACACACACGAGTTTAAGTTTGAGAATTTGAAACTTGCGTTATTTGGCGATAACAATACAAAAATACATACTTCATAATTCACAGATGTTGAAAGGTTCTCTGTATTTATCAGAAAGATTCGTTTGTGCTTTACGAGGGTGGCGCTTTTTCGGATAGTTATATATCGAGGTTTGATTGTTTTTAAATATTATAATTTTTTACAGACTGCTTTTTTAATTACAGATTTAAGATGTAAGATTTTAAGTTTCTTAAAACCAATTATTAACATTATATGATGATAAGACTTCATACACGTGATTTATATTACAAATAAGCACGTGTTCTTGTATGGAACACATTCGCCTTTACTGCCTAACACATAAGCGCGCGAGTGTTTATGTGTTTGGCAGATTATGTTACAGAATACAAACCTTGTATATTTATATATACAAGGTGATAAAATGAAAGAGGGCTTGGTGATGCTATGAGCACAGCTGAACAAAAGTTTGACTTATGGTATAATCAAATTCCTTACTATACACATATGTATATCAACTCAAAACTTGATTTATAGTTAAAGCCAAATGAACTGCCGAATTTCAGGCTATAATATGGCTATGTAATTAATTACTAAATACCAAATAATTTGTCTTCCTGTAAGCAGCCTACCCCTACAACAATTTGGTAGTTAAAAAAACTAATAAAATCTTTTCGAAATTTATTGAAATTAAACAAACATTTAAATTGTTTTAATCGAATATCTCGTTTCGATACAACAAAAATATCAAATATGATAAATTTCAACTTCTTCAATACATTTTGAATATTTAAAGTAATACACGCAACAGTAGTGCTTCATAAAGTGCGAGAATAGTGTATATTAGGGCATCTCTATCTATACAGATATGGGCATCAACTATTTTGTGCTAAGTTGTGGAGACAATTGTCATACGATACTGCTGCTCTGTATTGTTTACGTACGAGTAACTGCTCCGATCCATGTCCTGAATAGTTTAAGATGTCAGACTGTAGTATAGAAAATTCAAACGATTTCTCACAGAATCACAATAAATAGGTTTTATTGGACAGACACGCGAGAAGCAAATTACACAATAAAAAGATATCATAAAATATACATGAACAAACAGCACAGATCACATATAATTCTTCATCATGAGAAAACATGGCAAGAAGTGATTAGCAACCAGATTTTAGAAGTAACACGACCTTACTTTAAGGCAGCACTTATCTGTTTTTATCCTGTGTGTCCTATTAGAGAGCATTAGAAATTTTGGAGACAGAGTGTTCGCATCTTTTCAACTAGGCCGCCTCCTATATTTCAGGGAAGGAGTGAATGTATAATGTAATTGTAAATAAACTGTATTTACTGATTATTCGATAAAATGATAAAATTGATATTATAAAAATGGAATAAAACAGTAAAAGTATTGTTTCCAAATGTGTTATAAGTTATCTAGAGTTCCTAAGACACGAAGGGGTAGCGAGATTCGAATTCATGAACAAACAATCCCTATTATTTCAGATAAGGAAGTACGTTGCAGTAATACGACTGTATATTATATAATTGACGTAAGAAACAAGCCATAAAAATTAATGCTTAATATGTTTAAACCGGATTCCTGCACACTTGTCACTTGTCAGAGAAAATATTTATATAGTTCAGAACTCTTGTTTTAGTTTGTGTATAAAAAGAAAAGTTGTTGCATTTGCTTTTAAGAAAAACAAGACTAAACTAAACAATCTGTGCTAACCTATACGATCATTTGTTAGCTTTTACAAAATGTGATATTATATTTACAAACTTTTTCTCTTATGATAGCTCTATTTTTTAATGGGATAACATTTATTACATTTTAAGCAATATGTTGTGCAGATTAACATCAGTTTGTTTTATATGACAGATATATAACTTGTAGTTGTATAAAAACATTAAAACTGATTTGTTTTCAATTATTTTATTATATATAGTTACCTACTAGCTATAATACAAAGACATTACAAATAATATTCTTATCTTGTATTCTTACCTAACTTTTTATCTCCTTTCAAATAAATTTCATAATTAAAATATTTAATTCTTAATTTTTTTCCCTTTTCAATATATTTTAGTGGCGCCATCTGTCGAATGTTTTAACTACTAATTTTTTTACTATTGAACACAAGACAGTGTTATTATTAAAACACTTGGCGTTTATCCACTTTATTCAGTTAATACTAATTTTTATTATTGTTTGTAATAAATTATTTATATAGTCTTAAAGCCTTAAAAAATAATTTTTGTTATTAAAAAATAAATAAAATAAAATAATTCTATTTCTTATATACGACTTATAATTGATGATATTTTATAATTATTTTTGTTTTGAAATCTCACGACCCATTAAAATATTGAAAAAATCACGCAAATTGAATGATTAAATCTGTTAGAATCACGATTAATTTTGTTTAACAAATGGTTTTGATTATAAAAGTTGATTTAAATGAAATTAAATTCTTATGCCTTTAATCATTTTTATCATGAAATGTCTCTAAAGTTTTCAGGATTTATTGTAATTTTTTGCAAATTAAAGTTTAAAATGAAATATGTTCCGGTTAATTTCGATTAAATAAAAGTAATTATAATAAATACAGTATTTTAAAAATTTTTGATTAATTTCATTTACTACCGAGCGGGGATAGCACATTCGCGTTTACGTCATAAATGCTAGCGTGCTGCTCCGCTTGGCAGTTAATGGAACTAATCGAATTTTTAAAAAAAATTATTTTTAAATATTTAAATTAATGTACAGATATGCAATTTTTAACTTATGTTTACCTTCATCAATATAGCATAGATGTATTTTTTTAATAGTATATATGAAAAATAATATTAACTAGGTGGAAAATCTGCTTCGTGTAACATTCCCTCGATATAAACTATCGTGTAAACGTCTTTTACACAAATTACTATATTATTACTTTTAGCTGCCAAAATGATTTTCATTTTTTACCTGTCTTTTTTTTATGTAATTATCTGGATTTTGGGCGTATTTTGTGTGTCTTCTTTATAGTTGCCCGGTTTTTACGCGCTTTTATGTGCTCTTTTTATAGGTGTCTGGTTTTTATGACGTGTTTTTTTTTTTGTTACAGTTGACGGGTTTTTGTTAAACGGGAAGTGGAGATCTATAGCCGGCCGACATTTCCTACTTCTGTCCTAATAAATAAATATGTTTCTATACGAGAAACAATTACACTTCTTTAAAAATGTTTTATTTAATAGTGACGTAGAAAGTTATTTTGTAAATTAAGTACTGTTAAAAGTTGTTAATTATAAAATCATTGACGAGCTATATCTTAGATCCTCACATTATGAGGTAAACTACATCTTTTTAGATCCTCGTGCTTTTAAATTTCTTATTATTTAACGGAAGCGAAGGGTTGTATGTTATAGCTTAAGGTCATAAATTAAATCCGATTCTAGTCTTAGCTAAAAATCATTTGAATTTTCGTTATATGCCGATACAGTAGAGCATCGATTATCCGACTCAATTGAGGACTGGGATTATTCGGATAACTGAAAAAAACGGATAACCGAAAAATATGAAAAAATACATTATTAATATAGTATATTATTATTATATCCCATGTAACTAGTATATTAGTATATCGCTATTAACCTACTTCGCGTTGAATTTTCATCGATGTTAAGCCTAACAAAAATTTTTTAAAATAATAATCGTCGCTATTGTATCGTTAAAACTTAGAAAATTAAGCCTCGTTTAAATACTGGCTCCCTTTCATGGTCGAGCCAGAGTTGCCAGCTAAAACACGTAAAAATACTATTAAAGTACCAAGACATAGCCAAATATTGTAGCGCCACGTCACTAGCGGACATTTGAATTTGCCGACTAGAACGTGGTCGGTTAACCCAGTGTTTCTTAACAGGGGGGCCGCGGCCCCTGGCGGTCCGTAAGAAGTTTGCCGGGGGGCTGCCAAATTATGCAAAATTTCCTTCCGAATATAATAAAAAGAAAATTGATGTATAACCGAATATAATATTGAAAAGTGAAATAAGAAAGATAAAGTTTTCGTATTTAGTTTTTTTCATTTATTTCTTATTTCTTTCTACTTACAACTTTGTTAGTACAGAAGAAATAAATGCAAATATGCTACTTACACCGCAGTATTTACTTATTTTATTCCAAAGTAATTCTAAGAAACTATTAATGCTTGGAATTTTAAAAATAAAGCAATAATAAAAAAATCAATTTATTATAGATAATTTAACAAATATAAATTATTATTTTAAAAAATGGGGGTCACAAAAATTATGAAATATTTGGTGGGCCGCGAGTATAAAAAGGTTAAGAACCACTGGGTTAACTGATGTGACGGTTGATCGGGGGTCAGATAATCGATGCTCTACTGTAATTGTATTCCCTCGATCTACCCCATCATAATCGGATATTTTATTGTGTCTGTTAATGCTAAGTCTACAGATTCACTATTTTGAGTCTGTGTAATAGACTCAAAATAGTGAATCTGTAGACTTAAACAGAAACAAAATTTCTGTTCTGCTTTAATTCGATTTACAAAAGGCACATTAATTTATATATTTTGTTGAGAAAGGTTTAAATTTTTCCCAGTTCTTGTTTTCTACAATTATGCCCTATCATTCGACCCGGGTCTCTGGAGAGACCCTATCTGTAGCCTACAAACTTGTAAGTCCAAATAGAGAAGAGTAAACAGAACTTGGGTCTGAGATATGGAGAAACCTCAAATTGTAGCACAAAATTATTTACTAGAATTTTGTCCTTTATGGTTCTAAATATTATTATCTCTTGGCTCGCAACTGTAGCCAGATAGAAGAGGAAGCGAATAGAGTCATTTGACTTGGCCCTAGAGACTGTAGTGAAAACTCTGTTTTTATTTGTTTTACTGATTATTGTATATAGCACAATAGGTTTATTCATTGTATAAAATATTGTAATTCAGTTTAGCGTCATGCTCGATCTAATGCCAGTTTCAGAAGCGAACAAATAAGTTAGTGACGTTAAGTCGAAGTTTGAATGTACAGTATGTACATTCAAACTGTACCTTACTTATGAAATAACATTTCTAAATTCCTTCTTTTGCTTTCTCAACTAAAATAATTTATGTTGAGAAGAATATTAGTTATTATGAAACTTATATCAATATAAATGAATAAAGCTTTTTAAATAACGGAAAATCTTTATAAATAGGACAAAAATAAAGGTAAAATTTTTATCGCCAGCCGTTGGCAGTTTTAGGTGTAGACAATTTAGTCTCACGCCTAGGACTTTGCACTTTTAAAGGCTTCGGATACACACAAAAATATTCTTCTCATTCTTCATTTTTGGTCTAACAACATCCACATATATTATATAATAGGCCTACAGAATTCACATTAGGCCTATATTAAAATTTGGAAAATACTTCCAAATCAGTTTTGCTATTTATTACAGTATCAAAATAAAAAAAGTAAAAAATTTTTATGAAGTAGGTCTATCACTTAACATAATTTAATTTCCTAAAAATTCTTTCATTGTTGTAGCATCCTGCACATGTTAATCCAAACCTAGGTTAGTCCAAGTTTTGTAGTCCATGCATGGACTACAAAACTTGGACTGCATCGACTATGAAGAAATATCGTCAATGCTAAACAACAAATATATTAGATTATATTAGATTTAACAAAAAATATTAGTTTTCTGTCACAGTGTCAACTCAATATCTCGTCTATCATTTCCAACTCATTTTTACTTTTGGAAGCATGTTCCGTAGGAATAAAATTAGTATTGTCGTTATCATATTACAGTATTACTAAAAGTATTTTCAAATAAATTACTAGCATCGATTTTTCTAACCGATCAGCTCTTTCTTGTTCCTCACATTTTTAGTAGACCAGTTTTTACTCACATTTCATCAGTTATTTAAAATTAAGTTCTGGTTGCACAAAAATGGTCCCACCTAACTGATCGTAACAGAAAATTGTAACAGTAAGTCGCAATTAACTCGATTTACTGTTTACATAACCTCATATTTCTATTCGAGAAATAAAGGTAGATAATAGAATAATATCAACAAAACAAGAAGTTAGAAACGTATGCAATAACCTCAACGAACTCGGAAAAGTTTTCAATTCTGTTGAGATTGCTTTCTCATAAAAATTTTAGTTACTAATATAGATTTACATAATATACAAAATAGCCTATATAACTTAACTTACACAGATTGGTTAGCCTAGTATTAGTATGTGATGTGGATGCATCTTATGCAATCAAACTTCTGAAGAATGGCCGTTGTTGAAGGTTCGATGTACTGTACTATGCAAACTTAAGTAGTAACAGAGCTCTGTTACTACTTATGTCTTTAGACTTTTAGTATGAGTTTATTTATAAATGAATGGGCGAGTGGATGTGACCCGAACCCACGACCAACTATTAGTGTCTGAGCGCAGCTAGTTAGTCGTGGGGTTCGAGCTACGTGGAGTTTTCTGGGTATTCTTAACGTTTGTGACACCTAATAGGGACCAGTTCCCTATAGAAAGTCCTGTCGAGAAGCATCCCCCCTCCGTGAGTCGATTTGCCATATGTATACGAACAATTCATAAGTGAAAGAATAATTTAATCTATTCTAATATTGTTAAATTATTTGTAATTGTGTACTTTGAATTCATAATTATTTTAATATATATATTACACTATGCTTATTCTAGTATCTTATTATTGAATCGTAAATTCAATATTACAGTATTGATATATCAATAAATATAATTACTACTTTTAACAAAGATGAAGCTTTGCTTCAGTCCTTCTTTCCGTGGTTTACACCGCCTGCAGTTCATAAAATCACAAAAATCACTTATTATATTATTATTAAACATAAATTACCGTTGGCCATGTTAAATTCATTGTTGTTATTGTATCAACAACACGCTAGAATTATTGTATCGAGTGTGTTCTAATACAATCGTATGAAGATATGAGTATTGTTACGTCATTTGGATGTATTAAGCGGATTTTCTTAGACTAGTTGATTATACGTTGTACAAAAGACATATATAATAGCATTAATAAGTAAATTATTATTTAAAATAAATAATAAATTATTAGAATAATTACAATTTTTTGCTTTATAAATTCAGTTATTGTTTTTTTCTAATGATAATTATGTTTAGATAATTCATAAAAATTTCATATTCTATTAATACTTTGTACAGGACGGCATCACAGCATTACATCTCGCAGCGGCTCACGCTAGAGAGGACATGATAAAGATGCTGATGAGTCAGAAGGCAGACCCCACTGTGGCAGGAGGGGTGAGAAAATCATAAAAGACAAAAGTAATGATTTTTTATATCTATAATTAATTTTAAAAAATGTTCTTCTTTAGCCCAAAGGTCAGTTGCCAATTCACATCTTATGTAGTCGAGCGACGGCATCCGCCCCACAAGCGCTTCATCACCTTTTGAGGGCTACTAATAAAGATATACGATTAGCAACCGACAGGGTAAGCTTAAAAAAGGGGGTATTTTTAACGAATAATATGACAATTCAAATTGCACCAATTAAATCCGAATACGGTTTGAAATATACAGATATATAATTTCATTGGTTATACGATTCACTTGTGAATTACGTCAAAATAAGAATTTAAATTTAAAAAGTTTGGCAATTAATTGTTGCCAGATTTCAATAGAATTGCATTTTATTCATTTATTTTTTAATTTTAGGATGGAAATATCCCACTTTTTATGGCGGTGGAGTCAGGAAGCCACGGAGTTTGTAGAGAATTATTAGTCTCTCACGGAAAGGAACAAGTAACTGCCAAAAGACCCGGAACGGGTGATACCGTGATACACATGGCCACAAGGAGGAAGGATTTGGAAATTTTGAAATGGGCCGTGCAGCACGGTGGTAATGTTAATACACAAAATGTAAATTTATATTCGTAAAAAGTATAATCGTGTTATTAATTAATTAAACATTAAATCAATTTTATTTATTAATGTTAGAATGAAGGTCTCACTCCTCTTCACTTGGCAGTGATCGAAGGAGATGAACTTTTATTAAGATTTTTTCATAGCAACAACGCTAAACCAGATATAATAGACAACCACGAAAGAACCCCTCTACATATCGCAGCCGAAAAAGGACATAGCCATCTTGTGGAAATTTTAACTGATAAATTCAAAGCTTCCATTTTTCAAAGAACGAAGGTAAATCTATATTTGCATATACAGTAGTTTAAAGGCTACTATCACTAATATTAAAACGTTATTTTAATTTATGTCGACCATACATATGAATTATTACATCATTTTTACTCAAAATATACACGTATATCACTTACTATTCAAAATTCAAAGCAGTCACCAACCTACTGCCATGAAGGATCCAAGTTCGAATCCGATTCACATCTTAAACTTATCATGAGCAGTACAAGTCGGGATGTAATTTCTCCTCCTCTTCTATATTAATCAACCCCATTGTAGGTCAGGCCCGCCTTTAACCAGGTAATTGTGGTTGACCGTATAGTCTTCATGTAAACCTGTGAGGGATTCTTCGCAGGTTCGTACAAACTATGTTCGAACCTAGTTCAATCCCCTTAATATACCACGACTTTATTTCCCATACGACGTCCATGATGATCGACTCAATTGAAAATTAAACTCACTGGTAAACGGCGAAACTGTGTATCCATATTGCAATTATATACTGGTATCAGCCTATCGCAGCGAAGGATCCGTATTCGGTCCTATTCATAATTTCGTAATTTATCATAGGTTATAGGCTACAGGTCGGAGCATCTTTCACTAAAATTGTCAGTACCATCAGAGAATAAATGAATAATAAAATCGGCTACCTGAAACTCCAACACGCTTACCTAATCAATCAATACAGCAATAAATCGCATCTCAAAACTATAATTTAGTAATAATTATTTTCTAAGTATTTGAATATTTATAAAAGTGCAATAATTTTGTAAGGCTTTTTATTTCTATTGAAAATATATTTATCATCCATCTCCATTTAAGAAACGGTTCAAGTCCCATTTTTACTATGCAAATTCTTCCTTACAGCAATGAATATAGATTTAAAAATCTTTTAAATACACTGTAAATATTGTCTTTTTTCCGATTCTCAACTTATATTGATAAAAACACATTTTTTATAAAGTTATATAACATTAAAAAACTTATTCTCCTCATAAAAATTCTATAGCAAAAAAATTATTTAAATTTTTTAATAAAATTAATTTTAAAAAAAATATAAATATTTATTCTATAAAGGAAATCGTGAGATTACTGCGACATAAATTTCAGATGACCCAAAAACATTCATTCTAAATTTACGCACGTTTCTTTTGATTAAAAATTTAAAAAAATAAAATAAAATAACTGCATTTTTATTTTTTAAAATTTAAGTTTTAAATTTAAACCATTTGCAAGTAATTTTTCAAATAATCTTCATACACTGAAAACCATACACCACTATTATTAATGATATTTCATTTGAGATTTAATTTATTCTTTGATTACTTAAAAACTTTAAATTAAAATTATTTTATAAACGTATTAAGAGTAAATTTAATAATTATTTATATTTATGCAACGATTTAGCGTTAATGTACTAATTATTATATTTAATTAAATATAGACTATATAAACTCACATTTTTTCAAATTAAATTTAGGCCTATATTTATTTATATGTAACATTAAAATTAGAAAAAAATAATATATAATTATAGCCTATATATTTTACTCTTTCTGTGCTACGGGCACTAAAAGGGACATTTTTCAAAGCTCGTAGTGGGTTCGGCCAGTCCCACAATGGAGCGGAACGAGACCTGAAACATCCGAGACGGAACCACCTTTAAAAATTCCCGGACTTTTCGACCCGTCTTTGAAACAATATCAATAGCATCCGTTGTGTGCATTTATCTTTACGTAAAACGAATTGTTCGGATTAATTAATTTAAAGGAAAATGCAAGACCCACTTAATTTACTCTTTTAGCAATAAAGAAGAATACTTTTCGCGTTTTCACTAATTGGGCGATAGTTAGTTGGATGTTTCTTATTTACTTTTATATATTATAATATAGATTACTGTATTTCAATACTCGAGTATAAATTAAGCCAGAAAAACTATATTTAACCAGTTTAACAGAATAACCTCAGCTCACTGGAGTAAATATTTAACAAATTCTAGAAGTATTCCATCAATTCCAGGCGCTATTTTAGGTTTTTACTGACATAATAAGTCTAATTATTTTTATATTAAAATGTTTATTTAATAAATAATACTTATTTTCCAAATAAAGATAAATAAAGTCATTTCTATCGAATAGTCTTCCCGATTTAAGATAATCTCACCATTAATGTTTGAAGTGAACTAAGAAGAGACGAATATGCTGTTTAATGACGTATTTAATCGTTGTAAATAATTTCTCTCTAACTTTACATAAGTTTTGACATATCTTTTTCAATTTGAAATAATTAGTTATATATCCCGCATTGCCTTCTTTTATATTTATTTGAGTTAACATTAATTAGAACTCACAAATATTTTCATGTTATTATCTGGCATACAGCTACACATTGTATTATAAATTGTTGCCCCTAGCATTTATTCTATTATCTTGTGATGACCTACAACAATTTCTCGATTTCTTCCATATTTTCTAGACTTAGAAAAACGCTCTGCGAATAGCTGTAATATTTATTAAAATTAGGGCCTCTAGCTTTTATTTTCCAGTATCCACCAATAATCAATAGTGTCAGGAATTTATTACACTTAATATTTTTCACATTTATACCTTACATGTTTATTGAATAAACAGATAACAAAAGCCACCAATCTCTTTAATATATGTATCCAACGTAGTATGGCCTATTTACGTTTAGATTTAAAAAAAAAAGTAAATTTAAAAATTTTTATGACAACAGGATTAATCGAAAACATTTAGAGTTAGCCATTTTTTTCTTTTACCAAATAAAGTTTCTCGTTTCTTGGAAGTTACTGTATTACGATTTCAATTTTCTCGTCTTCTGTAGTTAATTCCTGGGAGAAATATGCTTTCAACTAGGAGAAAAGATCCGTATAAACAAATAGAAAATCGAATCTCACTGCGTTACGTAATAAATATAAGTTACGAACTCTAATTCAAATTTGCATGCGATCTTAAATTTAATTCATTATAAAATCATTTTTTAAGCTCCTTTTTAATAGAATTATTATTTTTTAAACTCATTTATATTGGTTTGAATAGAAACAAATTGCTTATTTAACATTTGAAAATTATTTTCCATTAAATTATAAAGAAAATATAGTATAATTACCACTTTGTACGCCCCTCTATTCTCATCTCACACTATCTTAAACAGGTTGAGATGATCTTGTAATGGACCGGAATGAGTTCTATACCAGAACAAATCAATAATGTTTGGGCAATCATTATTAGAACATTTAAACTATCAATAAATACGTATAACAATGACTTATATCGGCGATACCTCCCAATCTTCTCGTAAAAAGAAAAGTTTATCCAGCATCACCGAGTTTCAAAGCGCCTCCATAACATTAAATATATTAAAAATTAATATATGAAAGCCTTATTTTAAATTTTTTAAAGCAATTTTTTAAATATTTAATAAATAAATTTATCTTAACTTTTAAGAAAATTAAGTGTAAAATTTTTATTTTTAGGTTTCTTGTTTTTGCAATTATAGGATGTTANGGTAAGGTGCCAGATGCCCACGTGCATCTCTTACCAGGCGTGTCGTAGGTTTGCAGCCCCTGTTATAGACCGTTACGGGTTTGGCCATAATCTATATATATAAAAATGAATGTATGTATGTCTGGCTGTCTGTCCGTCTGTTCTTCATGCATTACTACACCATTTATCCGATTGCCATGAAACTTTGGGAAGTTTTTTAATACACTCCCGCGAAGATTTCTGGCTTAGTACATTTATCCTACGATTGATAACGCGCGTGTATAGGAGTATTTCGTCGTGAGCATTTCAGCACGGTTAGGAGTTGAAACTTGAAATTTGGTACACAGTTAAGCTGGATGCACACATGCGGCGCGGCAAGGAAAAGCGGTGTCGCCACGCGGCGGCAATCCTCTTACATTTCGTCGCATGCGTTCAGTATTCAACATGGCGAACGATACCGATATTGTCGCTATCCACGTGTTTACAAATTTTGTTTTGTACGGCATGCTTTATTTAGTTAGAAGATTTTGTCGAAGATTCGAACGAAGATTTTGGATTAGTGATATTTTCTTGGATTGATAAAGACCAGTTCTTTATGTAAAAAATACGCTTATTCCTCGATAAAGAATACTATTTCGAGTAAGATTCGGTTGTTTTGTTCTTTGAATTAAATTATATATAAATATTTGTGTAGAATTTGTGTTAAATTTATTATCTTTCCTCTTTATTCTGATGTTAGTTATCTCGGTTAACTGCATCGAATTTCCGCCATTAAAACACCACGTGATTGTATTTTCTCACGTGACTACCAGATGAACTGTTATTGGCTGATAGAAACGCGTCTTGGCGAATCTCTGGTGCCCAGACCATAAACTGTCGCCAAAATAAAATTGTATGGCAAGTTAGTACTTGATTGCTTGCTATTCTCTTTTGGTTGTATGTTCTTTGGAATTAAGCACAAACTTTTTATAAGTAAAATATAAGTAATTACTATTTTTATTGTAAAGTAAGCTTAAATATTTAACTGTCAATTATAATTTACAATTTTAGTTTAGAAAAATGGAACGTTTTTTAGCAAAATAACAGCAATATGTAAAAGCGATTTTAGCGCAAACTATCACGAAATGTTTCAATATGGCGTCGGGAAGATGGTACCAACTTGCTACAGCTTATAGTCTAATATTTGTTAAATTCTTTAATAATTAATTATTTTGTTAATAGCTATAATATTACAAACAGTTAAACTTTCCCTGAAGAAAAACTTGTACGCATTTTATACAATTTTAAGCAAAGTTACAAAATTAGTAACTTGTTTTTTCAATTATTTTATACAGTTTTACAATGGATTAACTTTGCTTAATATTATTTCAATAGAAATTTTTTCTATACATTAATAATTTATATGTATTTTACCAGTGAAATTCAAATTTCTTTAAAAAACGAATTTGACACTGAGTGGAGGTATCAGTGTCTCATTGCCATGTTATTAGAAGTAAT